GTGGCAGTCTCCAGAATTGCTTTTTGGGAACAGAGCTTATACGTAATAAAACTGTTCTGGCAATGTTCTCTAAAACGTTAAAAAAAAATCTTAAAGTACCTAAATGTCTAGGAAAAGGGAATTTTTTAAAGGAACATCAATTCATTGAAATATGATATAGTTGTTAAAACCGCAGGTGATAGGGACTGGCCTGGTGGCATAGTGGTTAAGTTAACACACTCTGCTTCGGCGGCCTGGGGTTCATGAGTTCGGATTCCGGGCGTGGACCTACACCACTCATAAAGCCATGCTGTGGTGGAGACTCACGTACAAAATAGAGGAAGATGGGCACAGATGTTAGTTTAGGGTGAATCTTCCTTGCCAAAAAAAAAAAAATGCAGGTCATAAAGCTTCTGGCTGTAATAGAGTAACTGGTATGAGCAGGCCCTCCTACCATAAACAAGTAGGAAAATAGAGACAAAATATATGTAACAACTGTTTTCAGACACTGAAAGCATAATACTTTGATCCCTGAAATGAAGGAAACAAATGAGATGAGCCCTATGATCACCCTAGATTTCTGCCTATAGATAATTTTTGAACTGCAGGTGCAGAAGGGGGAACCCAAACAGAGTCTTGCTGAGCTGAGGAGACAGAAATCAGAGAGTGGGGAGGCTGAAGTAGTTGGAAACTGCAGGGCAGAGCTCCAGCAAGAAGAGAGTTATGCAGAAGAAGAGCACTGGGAATCTGCCCAGGCATCCCTTTGCGTCTACTGATGGAAACTCACCTGTGCATGTAGAGGATGAAACTCCCCGGGCCAGGCAGAGAGCGGCTGGGGAACTGTGGGCTGAATGGTTCCCAGAGCTGAGCAGGACTTAGAGGCATTTGACTTCCAAACAGCCAAAGTGGAAAGCCCTCACTGATCACTAGGGACGTTTGGTAGCAACCAAAGGGCCATGCTTTATCAGAAGGGCCAAACCATCTCCAGAACAGAGTTTCTCAACAGCGGCACTGTTGACAATTTACACCAGGTAATTCTTTGTTGTGGGGGCTAGTCTGCGCATTATAGGATGTTTAGCAGCATCCCTGGCTTCTGCCCAGTAGTTGTCAGTGGTACTCACCCCTCTAGTCATGACAGTCTAAAATGACATTGCCAAATGTCCCACACTCAGGCAAAACTGCCCTCAATTGAGAACCACTGCTCTGGAATAAAGGTTACTCTAGACCTACCCTAACAAAGATTAAAAACAAGGCTCAAAAGAATCAAACTGAACCAAAGGAACATAGGACTATCTGAGTATAAAAACTCTGAGTAAAGTAGGAGTAGAAGGGAACTTCCTCAACCCCGATGAAGGACATCTACAAAAAGCCCACCAGGTAATGGTGAAAGACTGAAGGATTTCTCCCTAAGATTTGGAACAAGCAAGGATGGATATGGTCAGTACTTCTATTCAAAATTATTCTAGCAGTCCTAGCCAGTGCAATAAGAGAAGAAAAAGAAGTCAACAGAACAGGGATGGGAATGGAAGAAGTACAGCTCCTTATTTACTGACGACCATCTATGTAGAAAATCCTGAGAGGTAGGAAAATGAACTAATATGCAAATTTAGCAAAGTCAAGATACAAAAATCAATTATATCTCTGTATTCTAGCAACAAACAAATAGAAATTGAATTTCAAAAACAATACCATGCAGAATAGCACCACAAAAACATCAAGCACTTAGGGATAACTGTAACAAAATATGTGTAAGAAACTTATAAATTGAAAACTATAAAATGTGACTGAGAAAAATGGAATAGGACCCAAATAAATGGAAGAAGATGTAAATGAAAGAAGATCTAAATGTTCATGGGTCAGAAGGACTTGTATCCAAAAAATAAAAAGAACTATTAAAATTCAATAATAAGAACACAATTTAATTTAAAAATTGAGCAAAAGAGTTGAACAAACACTTCCACAACAAGACATACAAATGGTCAAGAAGCAGAGGAAAAGATATTCAACATCCTTAGGCATCAGGGAAATGCAAATTAAACCAACAATGATATACCACTATACTATGTCATTAGAATGGCTAAAATTTAAGAGTTTCTTTTTTTTTTTTTTGTGAGGAATATCAGCCCTGAGCTAACATCCAGGCCAATCCTCCTCTTTTTGCTGAGGAAGATTGGCCTTGAGCTAATATTTGTGCCGATCTTCCTCCACTTTATACGGGACGCCGCCACAGCATGGCCTGACAAGCGGTGCGTCGGTGGGCACCCAGGATCTGAACCCGGGTCACCAGCAGCGGAGTGCGCGCACTTAACCACTACGCCACAGGGCCAGCCCCCAGAATGGCTAAAATTTAAAAGACTGAAAATAACAAATGTTGGAAAGGATATGGAACCACCTGAAACTCTAACACATTGCTGGTGGGAATTTAAAATATACAACCACAATGGAAAAGGATTTGGCATTCTCTTAAAAAGTCAAGCATATGACCCAGAGATTGTCCTCCTAATTATTTACCCAAAAAAAGAGAAAACCTGTGGTCATCCAAAATCTAGTACACAAAGGCTTATAGAAGTTTATTTACAATAGCCAAAAACTAGAAACAACTCAAATGCCCATCAACAGGTGAATGGATAACCACACTGTGGTATACCCATACAGTGACATACTATGCAGCAGTAAAAAGGAACAAACTATTGATATGTGTTCAAAAATATGATGATGAACAAATGAAGCCAGACACAAAAAGAGCCCATACTGTATAATTTCATTTATATGAAACTCAAGAAAAGACTAATCTAATCTACAGTACTATAAAGTAAACAGCTGTTGCCCACAGCCAGAGGTGTGGGATTGGGATGAACTCGGAGGGGGCACAAGAGAGCCTTTCATGGTGATGGAAATGGTCTACAACTAGATTGTGGTGATGGTCACATGGGGATGAATATTTGTCAAAACTGATTGAATGCATTTATTATATGTAAATTATATGTAAATTACAACTCAAAAAATGATTTTAAAAGACACAATTAACAGACAAACCACAGAATGGAAAAAAATTATTCACAGTATATATATCTGACAAAGGACTTGAACTCAGAATACATAAAGAACACCTTGATTAATGATAAGAAGTAGAAGCCAGTTTTTTATAATTTTTATTTATTTATTTTTTCCCCCAAAGCCCCAGTAGATAGCTGTATGTCATAGCTGCACATCCTTCTAGTTGCTGTATGTGGGACGCGGCCTCAGCATGGCCGGAGAAGCGGTGCATCGGTGCGCACCCGGGATCCGAACCCGGGCCACCAGTAGCGGAGCGCACGCACTTAACCGCTAAGCCACAGAGCCGGCCCGAGAAGCCAGTTTTTTAAACGGGCAAATGATTTCAACAAACTTTTCCTAACGGTTATACAAACGGTGAAAAAGCACATGAAAAAGCATTCAACATGATTTATCATGAGAGAAATACAATCACAGTGAGATGTCATTTCATGAGAACGGCTAAAATAAAAAAGGTTTACAATACCAAATGAGGGCAAAGATGCAGAGCAACTGAAGCTCTGACACACTGCTGGTGGGCTCGTGAAATGGTACAACCACTATGGGAAACAATTCATATTCATCTACCCTGCAAACCCAGTTATTCCACCCCTGCATGTTTACCTAAGAGATAGGAAAACATGCGTCCACAAGAAGACCTGCACAAGAATGTTCACAGGAGCCTTATGGCTAACGATCAAAAGCCGGAAAGAACCCAAACGGCCTTCCAAAGGAGCATTTTGTTTATCCTTTAAAAGGATAAACTGTGATATATTCATAAAAAGGAATAAAAAGGAATGAAGTACTGATACGTGCAGCAACGTAGATGGATCTCAAAAACATTAGGCTGAGTGAAAGAAGCCAGACACAAGAGTATATGCTTCCATCAATTACATTAACTTTTAAAACAAGCAAATCTAATCATATGATGATAGATGTAATCTATGCAGAAATAGAAGTATAATGATGTACACCTGAAATTTATACAATGTTATAAACCAATGTTACTGCAATAAGTAAAAATTAAAAAAAAAATAAAATAAGAATTAAATGAAAAAAAAAAACAAACAAAACAGTGGGTGCCTCTCTGGGGTTGGGAACCGACTCGAAAGAGAAATGAGGGAACTTTGTGGGGTAATATAAATGTTCTGTACCTTGTCTTGGGGGTGGCTGATGCAATTATACAACTTGCAAAGTGAGGTCTACAACTGTCATTGACCTGACACTTAAGATCTAATTTTTGTAAGTAAATCATATTTCATTTTTAAAAGCCCCATACACAAAGTGTTACAAATCACAACAAAGTTTATTCAGAGGCACAGCAGTGTGTCCATTTGCTTGTAGCTTCTGAAAGTTCAGACAAAAAATGAAAACCCTTCTGAGAAAACTACATAAAGGAATCATAAGAAACTCAAGCGATAACATTAAGTGAAAAAACAAGACTGAAAATTGCACAAATATTGTGATTGTAATTGTGTAAAATACAGCATGGAGAAAACGGCTGATTTATAAGCAGTGTAGTAACGTGGGGCTTTTATTTTTTGATATCTATGAATTTCTGCACTATTTGTGAAATAAAAATGATGATAAAATAAAACAAACCAAAACTAAAAACAGAACAAAAACTAGGGGCCGGCCCCGTGGCGTAGTGGTTAAGTTTATGCACTCTGCTTCTGTGGCCCAGGGTTTACAGGTTCAGATCCCTGGTGTGGACCTACACCGCTCATCAAGCCACGCTGGCAGCATCCCACATACAAAGTAGAGGAAGACTGGCACAGGTGTTAGCTCAGGGCCACTCTTCCTCACCAAAAAAAAAAACCAGAACAAAAATTAAAGACCAAAACGAAAAATTGAATCAATACACAAGCAAGTAACTAGTGCATAATGAGGACATTTTCCTCCTTTATCCTTCCCCTGGAAGACAAAAAAAAGATGTGTCTAATCTTTGAGATGTAATTTTAAGGGATAAAAATCAAAACTCAACTCACCTGAAACTTGGTCATTTTCTCCTGCTCCTTCTGGGGAAGGGCAGAGTCCTGGGAAGGCAGGGCTGACAAAGGAGAAAGAAGCCATGAGACACAAGCCCTGGCTCCTGGGCTGCTCTGTGTGAATTTTAAAAAGTGACCCCTGGTTTGGCACACAGCACTAGCCCCTCAGCCAGGGGCCCTTGTGCAGTGAACAACCTGCCCAACTGTAAGCAGCAGGGCTAACCTAAGAGTCCCTTGCAGCTCCCAGGGTTATCTACTCACCCTGGGTATCATGGAAATGGCAGTAGAATGTACTGGCTAAGCGAACTCTGGGGCCAAAGGTCTGGGACGAAATCCTGGTACTGCTACTCAGTCTGTTTAACTTTATTAACCTCCCTGTGCCTCAAATCTGTCACCTGCAAAATGAGAATAATAGTGCTTCCCTTACAGGATTGCTGTGAGTGTCAATCGTGTGAGCAGATGGACACTCATCATTGATCTCAGGCAGCTGCAGAAACGCAGGTGGTATTATGCGTCGTCAAGTTCTCCTTGCAAATATCTTTTGCCATCATTTCCAAAAAGGGAGTCTTCTATGACATCCAGATTTCAGAGACTGTAAACACTTTGTCTCAAGAAATTCACCTTTATCTCTGAAAAGTCCATAATTCTGATTAGCTATATTACTTAATAATCTGTTGTCCTATAAGGATATTTCATTGAAATTAGTATCTGGTTTTGTAAAAGGTACAGTCATGCATCGCTTAACGACGGGGATACATTCTGAGAAATGCGTCACTAGGCAATTATGTCATGATGCGAACATCACAGACTGTACTTACACAAACCTAGATGGTATAGGCTACTACACACCTAGGCTCTATGGTACTCATCTTATGGGACCACCATCGTATATGCAGTCTGTCGTTGACTGAAATGTCATTATGTGGTGCATGACTATAAATACTCGTGAATTTTCTTCACATAGCCAGAAGAGTCTCAATGGTATATCCCCATTCTCCCATGCTCACTGTAGTGAAGAAAAACTAATTAAAAATATGACTGCTAGGGGCTGGCCCAGTGGTGTAGTAGTTAAGTTCACGTGCTCCACTTCAGCAGCCCAGGGTTCACAGGTTCAGATCCCAGGTGCAGACCTACCCACAGCAAGCCATGCTGTGGCAGGCGTCCCGCGTGCAAAATAGAGGAAGACTGGCACAGATGTTAGCTCAGGGTGAATCTTTCTCAGCAAAAAAAAAAAATGACTGCTAGTTTTTTTCATCTTAAACAAAACTTTGACTGTCTCTTCTCATTTAAATGAACAATACTATAGCAGTATAACAGATCCTAATTTATAACGCTGCTTTGGGGATTGAGTGAGTCCAGTAAGCCCGGCTAGGCAAATCCACAGAGACAGAAACTAAATGCGTGGTCACCAGGGGCTGGGCGGGGGTGGGGAGTGCGGGGTGATGCAAATGTTCTGGAATTAGACAGTGGGGATGGTTGTACAACCTGTGGATATACTAAAAACCAGTGAATTGCATATTTTAAAAGAGTGAATCGTATGATACGTAAATTACATCTCAATTTTAAAAAGAGGGAAGAAAAAAAGGCCTTGGCTCAGTGCCTGGCCCATTATGTAAACTCTCAGTAAGTGGTGATATGATTGTTCTTCCCATTTAATGGATGAGGAAGCTAAGGATTGGTGAGATTAAGTCACCGAAGGTCACAGAGCTGGGGAGAGGCGAGACTGCACCTGACTCCAGCTCTGACTCCAGAGCCCTGCTCTTTTTTTTTTTTTCTTTTGTGAGGAAGATTGGCCCTGAGCTAACATCTGTGCCAATCTTCCTCTATTTTGTATGTGGGATGCCGCCACAGCATGGCTTGCCGATCGGCGTGTGGGTCCACGCCCAGGATCTGATCCCACGAACCCTAGTCCACCAAAGTGGTGCACACGAACTTAACCACTACGCCACCAGGCCGGCCCCCAGAGCCCCTGCTCTTAATCTGGTCTCCACATCTCTAATCATAAACTCAAAGAGATGGGAGGGGCGTCCTCAGGGATGAAAGGAAGGGAGTGGGAGGGTACAGACTCGGCTGAAAGTGATCAGCCGGGAGACGCTGGCGCCAGATCATCAGTATTCCACTATTGACTCTTCCGACTTACTACCTCTTTGTGCCTAGTTCCACACTGACAAAATGGGGATGATAATATCTAGCTCATAGGGTTGCTGAGAGGTTTTGGTGAATACTTATAAATAAGCCTTCAATCCATGATAGCTACTCACAGTCCTCCTACTTGAGACAGAAGCAATCTAGTATGGACAAGAGCCACGTATCCACTTCTCAAAGCTGGGAAGAAGTATCGGTTCTTAACATCCAGTTCCCTTGCCCTGGCCCTGTATCTACTGCACTCTCCTGCTCTGTGCAGTAACAGGGTTTTGCAAGGAGATTTGACATCTCACAGTATTTAGCGGGAGAAAGCAAGTGGGGTCTGGGGTGTCTGGCTTGGCTCTGCTGGTGACCTGCTCGCTACTCACCCTTCAGATCCCTGCTCCGAGAAGCCTTCCATCATCTAGGGGCAGCTGGAGGATAATGAGCTGCTAATTATCTATTTTGCCTATGAGATGATCAACACAGCTTTTTATCCCCAGCACCCAGAACACAGCGAGTACTCAGAACACATGGAGTCAGAGAATGACTGCAGATACACTCGCGCAAGGACATAGGGCTAATCGACCTCCGAGCTTCCTTTGAGCTGTAAAATTCTGAGGCTGTTCCTCATTGGGAGGAGGAGAGGATGAACTGTATCTTCCAACTTCTTCCTCTGGGTTCCTTATGTTATTTGCTTTGCTCAAGCAACATGAAGGTCACTCTTAAAAGTGAAATATTCATAAAAGGGTCAATCATGGGCTCTGGATAAGGCAAACCCTATCTATCTATCTATCTATCTATCTATCTATCTATCTATCTATCTCTCTCTCTCTCTCTCTCTCTCTCTCTCTCTCTCTCTCTAACACCATCAGGTATTTACACAAATGTCATTCTCCTCAAAGAGTTCTTCTACGGATGTGCTTTATATAATTGAAATCTCTCACCCCACCACTTCCCTTCTGCTCCCATTCACTCCCCTTTTATATTCTAATATATTAATGTATGGTTTAGTTATTGATCTTGCTTATATCTATCCACTTTTTAGACTGTAAGCCCCATTGTTTTGGTCACTACTCTTTCTCCAGTGCCTAGAACAGTTCATGGCATGTAGCAGGCACTCAATACAGATTTGTCAGAAAAAACCCCACATGAATGACTGAATGAACAGTTGTACTTTTTTGTGTGTGTGTGAGGAAGATCAGCCCTGTGCTAACATCTGATGCCAATCCTCCTCTTTTTGCTGAGGAAGACTGGCCCTGGGCTAACATCCGTGCCCATCTTCCTCTGCTTTATATGGGACGCCGCCACAGCATGGCTCGATAAGCAGTGCATCAGTGCGCGCCCGGGATCCGACCCGGCGCACTCCGAGCCACCACAGCGGAGCGCGCGCACTTAACCGCTTGCGCCACCAGGCCGGCCCCTGAATGAACAGTTGATAAAATACACCCTGTATTATTAGCTGAGAGCCTCATTACCTCTCCCCAGGATCATTCATTCATTCAACAAATACTTATAGAGCATCCAGCACGTGCCAGGCACAATTTTGTTTATTAAAGATACAGCAGTGCATAAAGTCCCTTCTCTCGTGAAGCTGATGTTACAGGAGAGGTGACAGGTAATAAACCAACCAACAGAGAAGTATATAATGTGTTAGCCGGTGACAGATACTGTTAAGAAAAATTTGGGGGAAAAGGGAAGAAAGAGAAATGGGGAGGTGCTATTTTACAAAGGATGGTTTCAACTCTAGCGCTGGAGATCCTTGCTGAGTGACCTTTCGTGTATCAATTATCCTCTTATGCCTCATCTGTAACACGGGAATAGTAACAGGGTTCTTTTGAGGAATAAATGAGTTAATGACTCATAACAAGCTCCCAATAAATACTAGTTATTGTTAGTACCACTTTCGTTATTCTGACCTGGTGATGAATGCAGAAATGAAGCATTGGTTTTGGTTTGTTCCTAAGCAAATTTGTTTTAGGACATGAGAGTATTATCAGTAACTATACATCAACTTTTGAATACTCTGGGCAAGCTGTGGTTTCTGTATACAGCCAAGAGTGAGTGAGACAAAGTACAAGAAATATCCACATGGGTCGTTTTTATTGTTTGGTCACCTAATCCGTTTTCAGGAATTCAAAAAGCGGTCTCTCAGTGCTGCAGGCCCTGGTGTCCAGCAGCCAGCTGGACACCTGCACCAGCCACAATCACTTAACTGAATAACTTCTCTCTGTAACCTTGTCCCAGTGCTGGGCATGCTGGAAAGAGGACACAATTCCCACAACACAGGGATCTGCAGCCTGGGAGGAGAGACCGATTGGAAACCTAGAGCAAATTAAATTCTGAATGAGCAAATAAAGTTCATCACCTGTTTTCCTTAACCGCACCTCTTTTGGGGGCTGTACCTTTCTCTCTAACCACCGTTCTCCTAGTTACCACGTGCAAACTTTGGAATTGTGAATGTCCTCTCTCCCTTGACCTCCATATATTCATGATAATCTCGTATAAATCCTCTTGACTCAATGCCTGGATTTTGCGTTAAAATACTCAAGCCAAAAAAAAAAGGGGGGGAGGATTACATGGCAAGAATGACAAAAAGTTGACAGCAGTTGAAAGTTGACAAGGGTTGATGGCTATGTGAGAATTCATTATATTATTTTCTCTACATTTGTGTTTGAAAATGTTCATAATCACAAGTTACCACATATAAAAGTACTACAAGTAGGGGCTGGCCCCATGGCGTAGTGGTTAAGTTCAAGTGCTCCGCTTCAGCAGCCTGAGTTCGCAGGTTTGGACCCCAGGCATGGACCTACACCACCCATCAGCCACGCTGTAGCAGCGACCCACATACAAAGTCAAGGAAGATTGGCACAGATGTTAGCCAGGGCTAATCTTCCTCAAGCAAAAAATGAAGATTGGCAACAGATGTTAGCTCAGGGCAAATCTTTCTCTCACACACACACAAAATACTACAAATATGATACAATTTT